CACCCAATCACTGAGGCAGCTTTGAAAATCCCACTCTCACGCGTATGGTTGTTTATCCACACTGAACTACAGGAGAGGCCATTTGATCTCAGTTATTGTGAAGCAAATTGGGAGTATCTTCCATGGCGCAACTCCACTTTTGCACTAGTGTAACTGGTATCAAAATTTGACAGTGACATGAAATACTTTGCTGAGAGCCCAATTTTTCTTAATGTAAAGCATTTTTCTCTCAGACATGTATATCTATGTAACAGCTCTAGTTTAAGGGCATGTGCAATGAAGTATCTACAGCTCAGAGCTATAGTCTAAGGTAGTGATGCACAACCTGTGGCCTGAGGGCTGCATGCAGCCCGTTGGGGTTCTACGTGTGGCATTTTGTTTACCATGCCCCATGCACACGGTTGCCAGATTCTGCTGTTTTTCATTCACATCGTTTTTTCCCTACTGGCATTACTAAAGCGATACATGCCTATAGCAAGGGCACATGAAGTGAGGTGTGTGCTGATTTGACACAATGTTGTGAAAACCATGCGCTCCCTCTGCATCCAATCAGAGCACTGCTACAGTTCAATCAGCAAACCCGGCAAATTCTAGGGGCGCATGCCCAGTGAGCAAAACTACCATCTCCCAGGAGACCATCTTGGTTACAACAATCTTGAGGCCCACTGAAACAAAGAAGGGCCACCCATGCTGCCCAATCTCACTGGTGTGAAGGCACTTGGCAAGCCACAATCATGTGACTTACAGGAAACCAGGCGCAAGGCTACTCCCCTAGGCATGGATAACAGACAGGAGAATTCCAGAATTTGAAGAAGAATCTGAGAGGGGTGCTTTCCTTGGGTCAGGTGCATGGCCTAAGAGAGTGACCAGAAATTGGTAGTCAAGAGGACTAATGGATTCTGGGGTGCAGAAGGGGCTGTACTGCAGACCCTAGAAGGAAAGATGTAGAATTTCATGTAACAGGGAATGAAAGACCACTGGAGCCAAACAGAGGAATGAGGGGATATCAAATGCCTTACGGAGGTTGTGAAACCCAGTTCCAAGATGGGAAAGGGAGGATTAAGCGCCAAGTGACAGAAGGGATGGACTTACTTGAGAGCCAATTGCTGCACAAAGGAAATAACTGTGCATATTTAGTGTGCATATCTGATAAACCAGATCCCAGGTGGGGATGTTCCTTGAACCAAACAGGGGAGTGAGGAGTGATGCATTCAACAGAAACCAAAAGGGGAACTGAGTTAGCAAGCAGGTAACCTAGGGTTAAGATGACTTTGTTACAATTAATTTCACTCATAAAAATAGATGGACAGTGGTGAAAAGAGGACGCACAGCTGCAGAACACTAAGTGTGATAATTTGTTTGATCACAACATCAATGACTATAGCCAAAGTTTGCTGGAATCCCATTTTTGGGCCAATGCCTTCTTATCATGCTCTTTAACCAGAAAAGTTTGCAAACAGGATGACTATAGACCAAAGATTTCTACAGCCTGTGATGAATTGGGTAGTGGAGGAGGCAAATAAAAACATTTTATCCTGAAATCACTGAAGTACCCTAAGCCAAGAGCAACGATGTTTCAGACTAACCATTCCAAAAAGGCATGATTTCCAAATAATAATGTTTCCAACAGCTTCATTATACCTTCTGTAATCACCCCCTCTCAAAAAAGCATCAATCAGACACCTCCAGATTTTTGGGCACCTGAAATTGTTGTATATATCCTTTCTGTGAGCAAAATATGGCTTCCTCTTTCATGGACAATATTGTAAACATGTTCCTCCTGTATTGGTACTGTAAGCAGAGATAAGACACTACTGCACAATGTTTGTGAATGCACAGAGAACTGTTTAATTTAAAGCCACAATGGTGAAACAAACCATTGCACAGCATGGAAATTCAAAGTTAAGTCTGACGCTTTTTCTCAAACTCACGTATGGTACGTTAGTGTTAGAACATGATGTTACATGACCCATACACAGTTATCTGAGATCCTTGTAGGACCTGAGACCAAAGGGAATGAATAAAGGCTAGAGGACAAGACATTCAAGTAGTGTAAATTGGCATAACTCCATTGAAGTCAGTAGAGCTATGCTAATTTACATGATCTGGCCCTCAAAATGCCCAACTTAACTTTGAATTAATGTCTCTTGCTTATGCTATTTTGAGTCACAAGCCTTAATGTTACTGTTCCTTCTGGTTACATTTGCAGTACCACAGAAATAGATGAAAACTGATTCAACAGACAGTAATGCTGGAAACACTTGCAGATAAAATTTCAACTGGAATAGAATGAATGGCACAAATTATAACATTCAGCAATATTTTAAAGACTGGCCCAGATCCTCAGCTGTAAACTGAAGTCAATGGAGATTATCAATTTACAGCAGCTGAGAAAATGGCCTTAAGACTTTGATGATTGCTACCATGAATCATATAAACACTGTTTGAAAATAAAGACTTGTGTGTTCCTAATTCCGGGTAACAAAATTAATTCAGACTTCAAATTTCAGACAAATAATTACCAGAAAGTCTTCATTCTCTCCTCCTTTCAAACCTGGCATAACAGATTTCTATACTGACACCAGGAAAATGCATGCCTTTAGTTCAATTTCCATCATGAACTAAATATACTAAGTGGTGTAAACTCTCAGCACCATTATAATCAATGGACTACACCTGTCCCAGGTGAGTGATTTGAATTACTCCCTATTGTGCCCACGCAACCTCAATTGAAAATTTTGTTCATGGAGTATTCCACTTAAGTGACTTTGGTGTCTTTTTCAAACCAGCACAATGTCTCAGCGGGTCACATCATATTTTTCATCTACATGATTTTAATAGATATATGAATTCTTTTTCATTAGATATTTTAGACAACCACCCCCAAAAGAAAAAAACTGCGCAACACTATTGGCATCCCACCGAAACATAAATATATAAATTACATTTTATACACTTTTCTTTTAAACGCAGACACATACATTCATGTGCATAACATTGTGAACAGTACACTTGGTGAAGAACAAGCACAGATAGTTTTAGTAAATGTATATCCAGTTTTGGTGCTTAATGTAATACACTGGGAAGATGATCACAAAACAGGACAGTTACTAATTATGTCTGCATTAGCAGCTGAAGCCAATGCCTATTCACTAAAATTGCTTTGTTTGGGTAAATTGGACATAGTTATTCTGTAGGGGTGGTAAAACCTCCAACCCATGGGTTGCATGCAGTTTATCAAGATTAGCTCCTGGCAGGCCGCCAGATTGTTTGTTTACCTGAGCATCCATAGGCATAGCCACTTGCAACTTCCTGTGGAGATGGTTCAGTTCCCAGCCAGTAGGAGCTGTGGGAAGTAGTGGCCAGGCCCATGCCACTTCCCACAGCTCCCATTGGCTGGGAACGGTGAACAGCAGCCAATGGGAGCTACCGGGTTCTGTGCCTGCAGACACTTGGGTACACAAATTGTTCCACAGCCTGCCAGCGCCCTGATAAAACACATGTGGCCAGCGCGCTGGAGGTTCCCCGTCCCTGCTGTAGTGGGGATGTTTACCTACATTTGAAAAACTGGAAAAGTAAAAAAAAAAACTCTCTTTTTTAATACATCTTAAAGCTCTGCAGTTCATTCACATTTGGACACTTTTAATTCAGGGTAGACACATTATCCTCAAGACTTGATCTTTTGTCATGATGTACAAAGAAGAGAGAAAACTTTCATCTTATTGGAGATTTTTCATAAAGAAAAAAACCCAGTAGTTTATTTTGCATGTCCAATGTGATAATCAAAATAACACAAAGAGCATAATATCTAAACTACTGGGGTGGGGCAGTGATAATGACAAAGAGGGTAGCCATGACATATGTGGCACAGCCCTACATTTTCAAAGCAACAGACAAGAAATAGCCAAGTGACTCCCATTCCAGTCCATGGAAGAGTTGAGCAATTACATTCCTCAGCATTTTGAAAATGTAGGAGTTGGTGCCCGAGTATTTTATCTGCCCTGCTATAGTTAAAATATATTTTGAAGTTATTTGGGCTATTCAACTACAAAAATATGACCACAAAATGCTTTTTTTCATTTCTTTTTCTTTCTTTTTCTTTTTTTTTTTTCTTTTTTTTCTTTTTTGTTCAAGAAAACATAGCAGGCTTTCTTAGGTATATAAAACTGTTAATTTTAGATAAAAATACAAACTTCACCTTTACAAAACACATATTTCTGTTGAATACACATAAAGCATAACAGTTTACCAAAAATAAAGAATTTTAGGTTTTGTTCAACTATTTGCAGCAAGGTCTTTCCCATGCCACAATGACATTGTACAATGCGGATACAAGAATTTATACATTTCACACAGCGCCAACATGTGAAATAAAAGTATTTGTATACTGATAGGAATGGCAATTGCTAACACAATATCACTATTAGGCAACTGGCATAAGTTTCAAAGAAAAAAGGATATTTGAATGGATATCCTATGATTTGTTTGCACACATCAGGTTTTTTTAAATGCTTTAAATTACGGGGGGAGGTTGGGAGACATAAACCAAGAAACGTCTAGAAAATTATGCATAGGTATACCATTTTTATTTTAATATATCTCATTAGTTTGCATCCCACTAGGAGAAATACCATAATGTTTGTGTTCTGCTTACTGTTACACCAGTCTTCTATATGTGTTATTGGTAAATGTAGTCCAAGAGATAATAAAAAGCTAGGCAAAGAGTAAAAAGAAAGCTTAATAATCACTTTATGGTGTAAAAAAAAATCAATTTAAGGCTCCCCAGAAGGTATTCTTTTTTGTATAGACTTTAAAACACCACCAAGCAAGGATGTACTGTTTCTATAGAGTTTGTGTGGTATTTGATCATTTGAT